TGCAGAGCAACATGGCTTTTTGTCAAATTCTTTAAGCCACTGAGCTGGAAATGTGTAGGATGACAAGAGAGTCAACTAAAGTGAAAGCATTAGAAAAGTCACTGAAGGTTTAGAAGTAATCTGAATTCTGATAATATTTTTCATACTTGACTGATGAATATTGCTTCACTGGCAATAACTCTAAATCAGATTGTACTTCTTTTAAGCATGTACAACATATACTAATCATTGGTTAGCATCCGAAAGTCTTACTTGATTTTTAGATGCTACAGGATAAAACCAGTATTTACATAGGCTCAGATTCCACAGTCCTCCTACAGTAAGACTAAGTTACATGTATGCTTAAATGTTTGCACTGAAAAAAGACAGATAGAACCATATGCTAAAATTATATTGGTTTAGTGATTTAATACTGGGCTCACCTCTCTGGGTGCAAAATCACTGATTTAATTGCTAAAATAAAAAAACCCACAGATCTCAGAGAAGAATATAAATACATGTTTGAATTTGCAGGCTGGGGTCCTCTTGGTTGATCCCTTTACCTTTCATCTGAGAGACAGAAGGAACAATTGGTCTAGCTCTTCACCCTCATGCATTAAGCTTCCTAAGCTTTTTAGTCTTTTGCTGCCCTTTGTACAGCTTTTTTTTCCTTAAGTCACACTAGAGGAACTATGTTTTGTAGTATAGAAAATGCTGCAGGTTTCAGCAATAGACTCTTTAGGGTGCAGGGAAGATCTGTCCCTAATTATATTTTTAGGATTCTTTATCTAAATAGAGATTGGCAGACTGGAAGGAAGAAGAGGTAGGAATTTGGGGAAAATATATTTTTCTTGAATTTCAGATAGGAACCTGCTACAGTGTTGCCATTCACTGATGCACACATAATACAAGAATTTAATCATCTTATTGAAAAATGAATTTCATACTTTCTCATTAACTTGTCTAAACCTTTTAAAGATTATATTTTACTTCACAAATATTTCTTCGTACAGTTTTTGATATCCTTTTTTTTTCTTTTCACAGTCCTACTTAGTAGAACGCTTTATGATGACTTTTTTGAATTCAGGTAAACTCATCTAAAATACTGCTTATTACACTGTCTCTTGTATGTCTACACACACACACACACACAAAACCCTACAGGAACTACAAAAGCTTTCTATTGAACTGAAATAGAATGAGATCGATTTAGCTGGCAAAGATGTCAGATAACAGATGTCAGTGACCACAAGTCTCTCTTTCACCTGAGTCTGTGACATAGCAAGAAAGATTTTAGCACTCAAAGATAATAACAGCTTATTTTTTTCCTATCACTGCATTTGTGCATTTACAAAATTACCTAGTATACCCTCTCTCCTGGTGACTGAAAGAATTAGTAAAACATGAGGAAAAAATAGCAACTAGATGAATTCTCCAAACCAAAAAGCAGACATTTTCCATCTATTGGTAGAAAAGTGATCTCAGTTACAACGTTATCTCAGCTAGACAGAAAGTATCAATATTTGTGTTTGATTTTTATCCCAAACTCAGCTGGATCCCACACATTTCTTCTCAGTACTGTTCTGTCATTCCTTTACCTCTTGTCTTACTGTGGGTGTTGCGTTTGCCTCTTCTAATTACATGTGTTTCTATAATAGCACTAATCACTGGCGAGTTCTATTTGCTAAGTGCTGTCTAACAGATTTCATGCAGACACTCTCATTTCACTGTGGAAGGACTCTTGTGGAGCCAGAGTTAGTGTAGTGAAGCTAAACAGAGTTTATTATTAGAGAAAGAATCTAGTACTTTTCCTCAGAGCTTCTCAGAGGAAGATATGGTCTTTTCCTTCTTCATATCCAACCTCTCCCAAAGAGGTCAAGGGCAAAGGATAAACTCTAACAGGAATATGCTGTGATTTTTGTCACATACTTGTCATGTCTTGGTTAATCAGTATTGTAGTGGAGGATTTTGGTTTTGAGGGGCAGGGTGAAGGACACCAAGGGAATATTTTTTACTGGTTTCCAACTTAGACAGGTGAAGTAGATGCATGAGAAAACCACTATAGCCTGGATCTCAGTCAGGAAGAAATCTTTCCCACATAACGGAACTGACAAGCTGCTTCTCTGCTAAGTTTTTCTGCCCTTCTAGCATCCAAAAGGTATGATTTTTAGTGACCTCAAGCATGGCTGGCAGCTTAGAGAAGAACCAGCTGGCAATGTGAAAACCAAATGAGCAGCTTATGCACTATAGCAGGAGCGTGAGAGTTAGGTCCTTCCCAAAGTGAGAGGAAAGGCTCACAGTCAGATATGTAGATAAATGCAAGATAGTGGCACAGAGGCATCGTGATCTTCACAACCAGCTTCAGACTTACAGTAAGTACATCAGAGTTCATCGATGCCATTTGATACATGACTGAACAAATTTACCAGGTGCTTTTGGAAAAGTCTTTGCCTAATTAACAATTAAGATTAAAAAAAAAGTTGTAGATTCAACATTTAATGATGTTATCAAATCATGACTTGTTTATGCACCTTAACGGCACAAAAGAAATGTTTTTGTATTACATTTCCATTTACCTCCAGCCAGGTACATGAGGATTTGACATACCAATTAACCACTTCACCATTGTTCATATCTGAGCGCTCCAGAATTGTCTCTAAATTGCAAAAAGATACATTCTATTTTTTAAAAAAAATCATTTTTATTATGCATTCATGTCTAACATTAATTTAGGATGAAGGATTTCTAGGCTAATTGTGTTACTTTGTTAGCGAAGTCAGAAGAACCCACTTCTCAAGAAGAATTATGCTTCTCAAGTAGAAAAATTATATTTCAGCTTTCATTATAACAAATTGTAGTCTTCCGTATAATCTACAAATTTTAAAAAATTGAGCTGTTACGTAGGCATGATCTGGAAGAACTTTTAATTACTCAAATACAGATAATTAAAAACAGCTGGAAAGCAGGAAAAAACCTTCAGGTTTTCAATTAAATGTTAAATTAATTTAATTGTTTTCCCCTTAATTAAATTAATCAGTAATAAAAGTTTGCAACGAAATATAATCTTCTGTTTAAAAGGAGGATTGAGAAGTACTTGAAATCACCAAGAAGTTTTCTATGTTGAATGACATATGAAATAAGCCAGTGGAATAGACAAGCTTAATACATTTACTTTTACTTCTTTATTATTCGATCTAATGTGGATCCAAGATATAGAGAAGTCAATTGCAATGTTAGCAGTTTATTTTAATTAGATCAGAAGATTTGGTATTTATAAATCTGTGACACATAGGATCTCATAATTGCAATCTTTATTCTGTTAGTTTTTTTCA